GAAGACGTTAGAGTTGGGGGTTCAGGGTGTCAGTCACTTTCGCAAGAATTTGTCACTGGGGCTGTACGAACGTCTTAAACTCCTTACTTGGGATATTTCGATCGTGTCGACTGCATAAATCACCAGTTATTAATTTTACATTTGCAAGTCAGAATGTAATGGTAAGAGATTCCCATGAGACCACTTGAAAGTGATTACTGCGGAGGGCGCCTAATATATTTAGTGTCTTGAGTAGCTGAAGAGCATGAATGCAAATCATTTCTTATCGACCACCCGTAAGAAACTAATCATGATAAATCTTAACCTCTGTTTTTCGATTGAAAAGTTAAATGAATGGAAAAGTCCATTCGCTCGCGGTCCTTCGGTCAATAAACATAACAGAGAGAACATCACAGATGCAACGCGCACAGGATCTACTTGAAATTCTCCCTACGTTATAAAAATAAAAAAAAACGAAACATGTACACATTAAGCTATCATGACATGTATGCGCAAAGGAAGACAGTAAAGTAAGTTTATATGTACAAAAAGCCTAGGAGAGAGATATAATACACACTAAGACTTGTTATGCCTTTCTTTCCTGTGTTTGTCGAGTCGCGACTCTGAGGCGACGGTTATGCCGCAGGTTGAACAACCAAAGCCTGCCCCGAAGCCAGAGACGGGGGCTGGCCACGAAGACGAATGTCCCTTTGTTGCACTCCCTCCCTGCTTCCTGTGGCAGGTCGGGAGGTGTGCCAGGAGGGCTTTAGCGGAATTAAAAGAGCTCTGGGTTGAAGGACAACCAGGACAACGCCATACTACCCTGCGTTTGGACAGGAGTCGCGTCTTTGGAGGCTGACGCGGCCGTTTGCAGGATGCTGCCCGATGGAGCTTAAGTTCGGCAAAACTGGCGAAACCACCCTGGTGACATGTTGGACAGTGGTGGGTGGTGGGCTTCGCAGAACAACCTTGTGTGCCTGCTGTAGAGCGGGTGGAAACAAATCTGGGAGAATGTCGAGTTTTGCGACGATGGATGCGTTTTCGCGAAGTACGACATGATTCTGAGTCACTGGTAACGACAGGTGATAATGGCGTAGCTGCGGCATCATCGACACAGGGGAGGGTTGTGACCTAAAGGCGGAAAATCAGCCATACAGCTATGATGGGTGGAACCGATCTTTCCACAACAGATTCCGAGTTTTTAAGCGAGATTCAAAAATCTTTCTAGGTAGGAAAAAGTTGCAAAAGCTACGTTATGTACATATACAGGAAGAAAGTGTTGTATTAATGTGGAGGCTCACCGAAGTAGATACGGATGGAGGAGATTTAATACTGCCCTCTCCATGACTTGCAATATCTTCGTTATCTGAGTTAACACCTTCCTTGTTTTCACACATGCTCTCCACGCTTGGAGAACCAAACAATTCTTGCTCCGTGACTCTAGGTTTAGCCATCTACAAAAACATTGGAATTAATGAAACCACATTCCGATGGCTGGTAAGGTACTGGTATTTTATGCTGTCTCACTGTAATTTCAAATCGACATTAAAATCTCAACTATACGGCCTAGTGAGAGGGACGGATAAAATCAGTGGAAATGTTAAACGGTAAAATAGTCAAGTTCCATCGGCACAACGTAACTACAGTTGAGGAGATTTTCGAAACAAAGAAAAACCAGCTACCGTCAAGTATTTGCTGACACTTAAATTCAATGTGTTGCTGGTCTGGTTTGTTTTCATTAGGGCTATTCAAATCTTTATTAACACTCTGTTGAAAGCTAAAAAGAAGAGGTCAGAATTCGAATGTGATTGAAAGTGGGCTATTACCTGGTTTGGTTATATTAAAATCAAGGACAATTCACATGGGTTAACACGGTGATAAGAAAACGCTCAACGGAAAATTGGCATTACTTCTTCGCTTGTCGAAAGCGCACTTGCAAGAGACATGGTGCGACTTGAGGCGGCAGAACATGCCTCACCACAACTCGAAGCGGCAGAACCTGGTGGCTTTGCAGCAGTGCCTTCAGAGAGAGAGGATCGACGGAGACGATGCTGACTGGAGAGATTGCATTGCGCTTTTCTCGAAGGAGTACTTTGAGCCTCGTTTGAAGGAAGGGTGGTATTCTAAAGAGTCATCAGCGGAGTCACAGACTACTATTAGAACTGACTAGTGATGGTTACCCCTCAAACAACCATTGCAGAAGAAGAGCTAACAGACCCAATTTTATGCCCAAATAAAGGGATGTATTTAGGCATTCAGTAGAAAATGGACATTATCGACGTAAAGCACAGTGTAAAGGAATCAGAAAATGGATAAACACAAGTGTCTGGTCCAGCTATGCAGCTTACCAGATAGGCTTGTAACACTAAAGCATGACAGCATGAGACCTGCCACTAACCACATTTGTAGTTTCTTCACCAACAGCGACTACATTTCGTCGTTTCGCCACGTGAGGGGAGTTGTTGATGTGCTTTTTCGTAGGACTCAAATTCACAGTAGGAAGTTGGCGGTTCGCCGATTCAATTTTGTCTGATTGGAGCGATAAACTTCTCTTATATTTACGCGGGTTGCCGGCAATGAAGGAGTCCCAGTCTACGAGTGCTACCCGCCCTGATGGAGGGGTGGAGGTTGAGGTCTTTTCAGACGCCAGTGTTGAGATCCGTTGAACATTGGTCTTGACCTCGTTTGGTGAAATTTTGGAATTGTCTTTGGAGTTTGATGCTACAAACAAAAAAAACACTTAAGAAACCACTTAAAGGGACTAAAAGCACGATACTGTCAAGCGGTTGCCTTTAAGACCCTTACTACGGATGCATTTTATGAATATTGACATTTAACACTGCATAAACTAATACAGAAATAAAAGAAATATCAGAGAAATAACTCATACTAAAAACGACTAGGACGCGCCAGAAAGCAAAATGTGATGGTCAGCTATCGTAACAAGCGATGTAGTAGGAGCGAGAGAACAGGAGTAAGACGGAGGGGTAGGACAAAAGTACAAAAAGGCCAAGTATAAAGTCACACATGCCCCCATTTTGCCATAGCAGGAAAGACGACTTACATAGGCTATGATTACCACCTAAATTTGGGGTACGTACGACACCTGCGTACATAAAACAATGAGATCGGCTGATGAGGCATGGGATGAAATACTGTCGGCCATCATTTATCTCCTCATTCAGGTGGGCAATATGACGCTACAATTAGTGATGCCGGTCGAATCATAGTCTAATCACTTTCACTTTACCAACGATCACCTTGAATGCTGTAAAATCGCGTCGCATTGACTCGAAAAATATCTGCAATTTTCCACACGACAATTCCAACGTCCAATTGGGATTCGTGAAATTCTGGGCACACTTCACGTATGTCACATTGTTTCACATCCATCGAAGACACCGATCGGCAGTGATTAGTCGTAACCTCAGTTCCTTCGTCAAGTCTGCCTGCCAATCAACACATTTAATTTTAATTTCACTGTCTAGACACCCGATCTGAAACCCATTTATTGAATTTCGAATTGTACCCAAGTTACTTTAAGTAGCGAAATACAGTTGAATTGTCGGCATTGTTTCGCAAGAATTTCATCTGTGGTAATCCGTAGATTGACATTTAACAAATCGCCTATAAACTCATGATCAATGTTGGAAGGTCACCCAGAGCAATGTCTATCACATAGATTAAAGTCAAAATTTGTAAATCGCCTACATCACTTTGTGACTGGCCTACGAGCAGAAGCACGATTCATGCAGAATATCACTACTTGGCTGTTGGGCCTAGAAACAAGAGGATGCACCCGATTTCGCGTCGACATTCATTAAAACGTACAAAGAGAATGGAGTTCAAGCGGGATTCAGACTTCAAATAAGGAAGACTGGTACTAGTTAGGCAGTCAGCAAGTCGCCAAACTCCATTTTGCAGTACTTACGGAGAGGCCAAATTTAGGAGTGTAAGAAGGAGCCATCAGGAGAAGTCCTACTGGTCAGGAATATCTAGGGAAATTCGCCCCACAAGTATGCACCCTGGTGGCCTGCGTAACAGCATAGCTCTACGCCGCTAATGCAGCAGAGAATATAAAGGAGAATAGCGTCTACGGATAACAATAGCAAAAATGCTTATGTGAATTTGTCCGCTTTCCAGTGTCAAACTTTTGAGAGTTGTACAAGGGGATACAGTTCTTTGTGGGAAGACTCGACGACGTGAAGATGGCTATGTTTAAATCCAATGCGACATACTACGGGCCAATCGCACTCGAGAACAGACAAGAAATATCAAAGTTCACAAAAGCATTCATCAGAACACACACGACGGAGGTAGCGAGATTATCATGATTGGAGGCTCGTCGCCCACTCCGAGGAAGCACTCACCGCATGGACAAGGTCATGCTTAGGACGCAAAGACAAAAATGCAACAATGTTTCTTGGTCGAAGGTGCGCAGAGGCTACTAAACTCGTATGCACACCTCGACCCCATTAGAGGGCTATTGTCTGAATGATCATTAAGTGCGGTGAGTAACTTCTGTTTAGGTTGCGGAATGGCGACACTGACTAGCGCAATTTACTTTAACCACCAAAAATAAGCTTTGAAATGCGTTACAGGAGAGGATATGTAACTTCCTACAGGTAATTGAAAGGTCTGGTGAAATCAGTTAATTGTAAATGCAAATACTCTATTATATTTAAAGAATCTTCTTAACTTTGCGCAGTAGATTTAACACGAATTCAGGGTAGTCGACATCTAGACAGTTTTCCCCGACTGCTCCACTTACCGCACCCACATAATTCATGCTTAGATTGCTTTTTGGCTTGAGAACCGAGCCATTGGACATTGGTTTGCGGTTAATCCGTGCTTGGGAATTGTTGCCCTCGCGCGATTTACAACTCGTGTCGGACTCGCCAACTTACCCGTTGGCAGTCTAACCCAAGTTATCTTTGTGAGAATATAAAAGCGAACGCAATTGGCCAAAACGCGAGCATTACTTGGAAAAGTGTAGCAGAGTTGTGCGGTAATACTTCCCTGCGAAGCCATTCGCTGGAAATGACTTTACGACAAGGTTCACACCTTAACAAAGAGCAGCTTTAGTTACGCGGTGATGGTGCACGGTTACACTGAACTTATTCTCAACTCTAGGCTAATTCCACAAGACTAACGAGACATCTACCGAGGAGACGGATGCGCGTAAGTGGTGGGAGAGGAATGAAGAAACAACGATTACAACAAAGGGGTGCGCGCGCAAACATGTGGACGTGCAACGATTGCAACAGTAATTCAGGTGGCGATAAAAAGCTGCTTACTAAGAAAGTTCTCCCCATAACATCTATTGGGTCTCGAGTAAATTCGACCGTAGGTTCAGAATTTTAAAAAAAAACCAAAGACGTACTGTTACTAGCAGAACCATAGGAGCTACTGTGGTTAATGGATTCACGAGACAATGCGACTTGAGAAGGATCGCCATCGATAGATGAGTCGGAACAGTGTTCCGTTTTGAAAAACTTCTGCCTTTTGGCTGTGGCTTTGATTTGAGGGCCTGAAAGTTGGTAAATTTGTAATCGCAATTAAAGGGGCAGAGTACCGTATGAAAAAACTAACAGACGATACTGTAGGAATTAACTGTACTGAATAAGTTTAAGTAGAATGTTATTACCTACCTTCTTGAGCAGTTGCAACCGAGGGGCCGGCTAATCGGCAGTTCTCAGATTTGAGAGACATATCCGAACTCGGGGATTCCCCCCGCCTTTTTCGCCTAAATCGCCTCTCATCAATCAAGGCATCGGATATGTTTTCGGTTGGAATGTTTGGTTTTAATTCTGTTTTGCATGATGATAAACAGCCCCGAAGTAAATTATGTGGGTGATTTGCAACTTTCCCTGACACAAACCTTTCGTCAGTTCCGGTTGGCGGTCCGTTGGAGGAAGCATCCGGTAGTTGAACAGCCTTCCCACAACTTGGAGTCGACGTTTTTGTCACTTTAAGCTGCTTCTCCAGACGTTTCCCCGATGTTTCAAGTGGCGAAGAAGAAGGAGAAACCGGTGGGGATTTACTGGGCAGATTTTTGACAATTTCAGAGGACGAAAATTTATCATTGCACGGCGACGGAGCATCTAAAACAAGTTTAGTCTCCCTCCCAATTGGAAACGTGTGTGGTGATGCGCGCGATGGATACTCGCCGACAACAAGCAATCGACTCATAAGGCCTCCTTTGAGCTCAGTGAGTTTGGTGGGAGTTTCTAGAGGTGAAGAAACGGCAGATTGCACGTGATTCTCTACTGTCGGCTTCATGGGAGTTTCCAACGGTGATGAAACACTCGAGTCGCTGTTTTGCTTGTTTGAAGTCGCCCCATTGGATGTTTCCAAGGGTGGCACAGCCGTTTGGTGCACCACAGCGGAGACACTCGACGGGATGGACTGCAGACAAATACGTCGAGTGATTGTACCACAGTCCGGAATAATCTCACTCGTAGCCGATGACTGCATTGAAAGACTAGTTGATTGAGGCTCCGTGCCGCAAACTTCGATTGGCTTTTCAGGTGTTTCCAGTGGAGAAGATGCATTCGATGCTGAAGGCCTAGCACCCTCTTCCACTTTTACAGCCTTCTCATCAGAATAATTTAGTGGAAGTACGATGTTTTTAGATGTAGCCTTTAGCGCCACTTTTGATAGAAATGGTGAGGATGAATTTTTGCTGCTTCTCTGGAGGGACGATGCTTCGGGGGTGCTCACGATATAGGACCCCAAATCCATCAGCTGGTCAGGCTTGAAAGTGTCCTCAATGACACATTGTAAGCCTCCAGTTTTCACACCTGAATTCATTGATCCTCGTTTTTTTTCCACATCGCTCTGGACGTATTCAACTTGGACGACACGATTATTAGTACCTTTGGGAAGTTTGCTCACCTTACATTTCCGAGCGGAGCGTTTAATCACTTCGGTCGTAGGTAAGTTAATAGCTGCCTTCATAGTTTTAGTGGGTCTTGGGGCTTTTTGCAACGCTGGCTTAAAACAAGATCCGAGAGAAGGCGATGACCCCTCTAACGTCAGTTCATCGTCAGCTTTAGTGGAAAGAGTTCCAGAAGACGTTGCACATTGAAGGGTCTTTGCAGCTGAAAATCGCAAATTTTTCCTTGGTTCCAACTTTAGCGATGTGAACCGAGTTTCGTCTCCGGAAACTCTAAGCCTATTTGAAATACTGAGAGATAACTTTGGTTTGGTACGCCGCTCCTCGGAGGAAGACATCGTTCGCATTCTTGTAGACTTTCGGACACTAACCGGAGGGGTTTCAAGGGGAGATGAAGTATCTGATGCTGCAGGGTTGTTAGGGATTGTTTGCCCTTCACTGACACGATGCGATTGTTTTGATGCTTGAGTATTTGGTTTCCCGCACCGAGCTACAGAGATATAACAATTAGGAGCTCTCTAGATAACCTAAACAAGAGGATGTATGAATTATGTATACCTTTGGGGTTGGTTTTCTTCTTACAAGCATCAGACACGTTAGGGTGAATCGACACTAAGAGTGATCGGCGGCGACCACCGGACCGGGTGCAGCGCTCTAAATAGACAAAACTGAGCTTAAATTTGACTGACGGATACGAGTACAATAAATGGTCTAAAAGCAACTCGAAGCGACCTTGCAACTTGTCAACAAGTATTGTAGATCCAGCTCGGAACTAGCAACTTTAAGAAATACCATTAAAACGATAAGGCAAAATAAACGGCGTTGGTGTCCCAATAAATAATCAACGAAAATTGACCTTCGGGAAGCCGTAGAGAGGTTAGGGACCTCCTCGGGATCTTGTCATTGACAAGAGACGACTGTAGCAAGCTTGTAGACTTTTTCCTCGACGATTTGCCAGATTGTGTAGAGAGGCGCCGCTGGCGTCCACATTTGGAAACACAATCCAAAGGCTCTAAAGTAAAAAAAATGACGGCTAGGTGTCTAACTCCAGCTAAGATTTGATGCTTCTAAAAGAAGACAGGTAGAATACCTACTGACAACTAACACAAGCATACTACCAAGACAGTCATTATGGAAACAATGACATATATGCTCCTGGTTACCGCTCGAGCTATGGGGCATCGTACCTACATGGCCAACATTGGCTGATCTGTAATGCATGACCTCAGTTTTAACAATACTTTCGAGACATTGGAATATCTATGTTCTGCACAGTGCTTTATAACAAGCAATTTTTAGAGGGGACTCAATATCATGTTTTTTAGACACTTATGGGCATTTTTATCTGTACAAAAGCATTCCTACTTTTAAGAAGACCAGAACCAGTTGACTTGTGATTATCCCACTGAGGTCCTGGACAGTGAATTGTTTGGTGCCTTAGGAGAGCCGCTTGAGAAGAGAATCCTGCAAGTCGACAGGCACAGCAGAAGAAAGCGGATTGGCTTACATGATGCACATTTTCTGCGTGTGCCAAGAGACCCTCAGTGGTATCCAGGACCTTGTGGCAACGCTTGCATGAATAGCAATTCTAAAAGATAAGTGGGCATACTCAGAAGCCATTCATATCGAACAGACTGCTTGTTTGAATTTGCGTAGGAAAGCTTAGGGCATCAACAAACGGATTGCTATATTTGATATGGTCCAAATACAGTATGCATAAATATAACACTATAAAAACTATGCAGCACTGGAAAACGACAAAGCACCATCAGGACAGAATGGTTAAAGGCCTGATTGCGATCATGACCCAGTTTTGTTATGAAATAAGGCCTGAAGTTCCAACGGTCAAATTCAATTTTCCAGGCGTTCTCCCATACAGAACACATTAACTACAATCTTTTTCCTTTGAGACCTCCACTCGGTAAAATAAAACAACTATGTTCAGGGATAAATCAAAGATGAAAACATGTCACAGAATTCCTCTATGCCCTGAGGAAGCAACACGTAGAAACGTCAGACAAAAAAAGGATTTATCCAGATAAATAAATGCTTTGTGCATAGGAAAAGCATTAACTCAAGATATAGGTGAAAGTGATAAGCGTTATTTGCATGCAATCATGGGTCAGCTGAAACAAAACGACGAACTAAATTGCCAATGAGCCCTCTAGAACAGCGAATACCAACCAAGCTCCTCTTTCTATCATGAACTACACAACTTGGATAATGTCGACGCTTTTCAGGTCAATGACTGGCTTACTACCTAAGGCATTCCGTGGGGCAGCAAAAACGGAATTATTTAGGCTATCTATATAGATGCGTAATGGAAAGACTCCAATTACAGAAAAGCATGCAAAATGTACATGGTGAAAGCCAGGCTTGACTTTTGTATTCCTAAAATATCTAAATCGCAAAAAATCGACAAATTAGGTAGGACGACTTACCATAATTAATGAAGAACACTAAGACAAATTGTTCACCTTGTATTAACGGTACTATAGGGACATGAGCACACCCATCACACCCAAACTACGCACCTAGAAGAGAGGGCTCCGCCTAATGCGACCTCTACGAAATCTAAATAATCGAACTCCAAAGCAGACAGTTCAAACAAAAAACCAGCTTGCATCAATTTCACAAGCGTCAGTTACAATTTTAATTTTCACATAGGCAACGCCTATTTTTTCACGTCTGATCATTAGTTGTAATTGGCGAATATAACAGTGCAATGTAGGCGAGTAAGTAGAACAAATTCTCGGGCCAAAGATTCACAAATAAAGTTCGTTCATGTATGTATCGCTGACAGCATAGTTTAATGTTAATCTAGAAAAAAATAATGAAATACAATAATATAGCAAAAAAATAAAAGCAACTGAACTTAAATTGTAAAAATATATTAACATCATAAAGAGCCCAGAGCGGTGTCCACATTAGCCACGTTCATTCAAGGAAATTAAAAAAGGATACTTCAGTTTTCCTAAATAATACTTTTTGGAACCACAACACATTGCAAAAAGTTCAATTGATCCTCAAATAGAAAAAGAGAAGTTCAAAATTTTTCAACAATACGGCAACTAATGAGACAACGGTTTCGTCAAATGTACGTCAAATGTTCAGGCAAAGGAATTAGGCAGCATAAATTGCGCACAATATTGGAATTAAGAAAATTAATCGCGCTTCATCAGTCAATAGGGGTCATTAGGATATCGAAACCTATTTTCAACATGTCGTCTTACGAGATAATAAATAACAAGGAATACGAATATTAACATCAGCAAATAAACATATTAAGGTAATGCATCAAATAAAAAAGTTACTTTGTTTTCAATGCTTTCCATGCATTATGGATATTTAACAACCTCTGAAACAATTTAAAACATGTCGGTTGCATCTTATAAATTACGGAATTTATATAAGCGTTTAAAGCTTATATTTATTGTTAAAAAGAAGGCCGAAAACGAACAGACTTAAGCCTAAAAATTCTCTAAAATTTGACATTGTACCAGTAGTCAGATAGAATGGCCATAAGTAAGGTTCGGAGGAATTCACTGATTCCAGATTTGCGATGCTCACTGGTTAATGGCCTGCCTGGCTAATGCAGTTCATTTACATCACTTTACTCCAAAATCGGATTTCTGGGGAATGGCTCATCGGCGAAATTATCAGAAGCTTCAATTCGAGTTTACTTACAATAATCTTGGGATTGCTCGGTATTTTTAAATTGATTGTCACTCTCTTTGTGAAGTACACGCTGTGTGGCGTTCGAGTAGATATTACCAGCAAATATCAGTCCACGAATTTTAGGCTAAAATTGTTGATTAAGGAATTACTAGTTAATTTCAAGTCCAGTATTCTGTTGGTAATCGCCAATTCAATCAAGACAGATGGGTGCGTCAATTGGATCTGAGCATTTCGGTTACAAAAAG